GCGGGAAGGGAGGAAAAGGGGTGGGGGGAGAGGCGGATGAGTGGTGGTGACATTGTGGACTGCTGACTCTATTTATTGTGACTCGAGATTTGATGATTCAATTTGAGAGATGGGCCCTGATTAACATTATCAAGGTGGAATGGCAAGCTCCTGAATAGTAACTAGTATGTGTCTGGTGATTATCCTTGGAATGCCAGATGTGAATCTATGGAGTCTGCGGGTAATTTTTGACTATGAGTCGAGCCGTGACATGAGCAAACATGTTTTGTATGCTATAGCAACTTCTATCTCAAGTCTAACTAGGGGTATATTGAAGGGACATGAGACGCTTTTCAGCACTCGGGCCTCGACAGAACATGAAGCATTCCAAAGACTGCAGCTCTTTACGAGCTTTGAGAAGTCTTCACTTGGTCGGAAGAATAGCCAGGGTATCCATGCGTTCATCCAAATCATGCCCGACACGGCGCGGCTGTCCGTCAGCGGAACATTTCGAACCTCTCAGGCCTCGTCCTGCGCAATCGCCTTGTGAATCAATTCCGTAGGTGTCGGTATATAGGACGACATATATATAAATATGCTTCAATGAGGAAGTGGGAGCGAGTGGTACTTCAACATCGCACCCAGTTTCATGCGCCTTGCACGATCTTCGCTACGAAGCAAGTTCATAGAACGCGTACTGCAGGCCCAACACTGCCAGTATCGAAGGTCTCAATCAACCCGGCCCCCAGAGCTTCCTCCAGAGCCCAGCGGAAATTCATGCCATAGAGCTCTTTCCACTTCCTCGTCTTTCCCGGAAGTATGCCAGCGAATTCACCTCGCACGCGCTTCGCAACGCTGAAGCTCTTATCCGTCTCAACCGCGCCGTCCCAACGATCGCGTAGAAGGTAGACGGGAGCCTCGCCAGAACTGGACTTGTTGAGAAGAGCAAGGAGATGTTTCCGACCAGCTCCGAGAAGGCGAAGATATGGCCCAGTGTTGGGAAGTGAAAGGAAGAGGGTCGCTGTCTGAAATAGAGACAGATGTTGGTTATCCGGAGTGTCGCAGGACTGATCGAAGTTGCCACTCCGACTAGCAGAAGCAGGAGCCGGAGCCGGAGTGGAGGATGGAAGACCGGGAAGCGACGCGACCCCGATGGAACCCTTGACGAGAGAAGACGACGACACCAAAAAGCCGGCGCGAACCAGATCCATACGCTCCGATTGGGAAAGAAACGAAGCGGGTATAGCCGATATGTTTCCAATCTGGCGGAGAACTTGAAGGAATTTATCTGCGAGCTGATCAGCAAGAGCAAGATAGACCGGTGATACGGCAGCAGGAAGCCATTCACTTACCCTTAACTGATACTTCCAAGACACTGCTTTCCCGCACAAGCCTTTCCCAATCCTCTGTCAAAACTAGACAATCACCAAGCCCTGCCGCATCGTTCCCTCTTCCAGGGACGATCAAGCGACGAATACGACCGGCATTGACCAGATCCACAATCTCTTTCTCCACTTTCGTAGGCGCATCGATCAGTGTGTGGACATGTGCCACTGAGGCAAGAGGGGGCAGCGACCGGCGCAGATTAAGTACTTCGGCAATGCGAGTGCTATTCATGCCAGCTCGAGCAGGGATATCCTCGAACATCTTGTCGCGAATGTAGTGGATGGCTTGAATCACATCCTCGACGGGAGCAGTCTGTGGCACATAATGAGAAGTTCCCAGGTCAGGCAGCTGGCCCTGATCAAAGTCAGCCGGGTACAGCTCATCTAGCTGGTCAGGGCGGGAAGATTGAACGGCGGCTTTCTGGCGAGCATGTCCGGCAAAAGGGGAGGCGCGAGGTTTAAAAGGGGAGGGTCTCTTTCTCTTTTGGATACCAGATACCGGAGCAGACGTAATCCGTAATGGCATGGCCCAGCTAGAAGGTAATAGAAGAGAAGGACAGCGGTTTTAAAAAACCTTGAAGAAGAGATGCGTTCAAGATTGCTGAAGTTTTCGGATGCCCTCAAATGATAAGAAATGTCTGCCTGAGGTTTCCTCTTCCATGTCACGATAAGAGGAGAGCTATCAGCACGTGACTAATACCCCTCACTATCCGAACCGACGAGGATCGATCATTTTAGCCAATGATGAAGTGAAGGATCAATCTGGAGGACAAACCTGCCTACTTTACCTACCTTAGTATATTTAGATCACTGTTAATAGTCTAAAAATTTCTAGACAGGGCTGAAGGTAGCCCAGGAAAAAAGAGATATCCTTCCTTCTTCTCACCCAGGATTCTCTTGTTTTTACCAGTGCTTATCAGGTTTTCAGTGGGCAGTCCCACTTCTGCTGGCTTCTTCCGCCTTAGGCTCACCTTTTTCTCACATGACGTAGCCATGAGAGAAGATCCTCGACTTTGTCCAAGTTGTTACATCGATCCGTGGTAGAACCAGCTATATCTGCCCAATATTCAGGGTGCATTTCCCTGTTGCTGTGTCGCGTTTTTATATCTTCTATGACCTTTCTTCATCGTCTGCATTCTTTCTTCCCGTCTCCTACAGCCCCTCCTTCGCCGTCCCCTTAACCTTCCTCCCCCGCCATCTGGCTTAGAGTCCATATCAATCTGCCAGGATGACAATCTTCATCGCTTCATTGTATGTCGACCATTCTCCCCTATTGTATTTGCTGTGCTGACGTATATGATTTGCCAGATTCCTACCCTACACGGTGAATTTTCACGACAACGAGTCTGAAGATCCAGCCGGCGCTCTAACGAGCCCTCCCATATCGAACACTCCATCCCAGGCCGTGACCCCAGCGCCTACTGCTGCTATCAGCTTGTTTGAACGACAGAATGGTGCCAGGAAGGCGGGCCTGACGCCTGGGGCTACAACTGAGCATGAGCGAATCTTCACATCGGACATTACAAAAGCTGAGCAAGAGCCCTCAAGCTATCCATTTCCTGCGGTAACGGATGATGCAAATCTTCTCACTGAAAGTGAAGCCCATTCTCCCGCCTGGGGTGCCACCACGGCTCTGAACCAGCCCAGGGCTCGGCCGCCTATTTCGCCCTCCCCCTCGATCCTTAAGCACCAGGAGCCGACTGTCTCGGTGATGGAGCCTATTCGCGAAAAGACCCCATTGAAGGTTGAATCCTTCCGGTCGCAACCCCCGGACAATGCCGGTGATCGCAGCCGCAAAACTTCGTTCTCGAAGGCGGACTGGACCGTCGAAACAGCAGAGCAGGGTAACGGCGGGTTGCGCAATGCGGTGCGATCAGCAACGGATGCAGGCCAATTAGAAGACAAAGTGTGGGTTGGCACGCTGGGAATGCCCACGGATGCATTGTCGACTCACACCAAAGCTGCCATCGCCGAGAAGTTGGAAGATGAGTACGGATCGTTGACGGTCTATGTCAGCGACGGCGACTTTGACGGCCACTACACCCATTTCTGCAAGACGATCCTCTGGCCCGTGTTTCACTACCAGATCCCCGACAACCCGAAAAGCAAAGCATATGAAGACCATTCATGGATTTATTATGTCAAGACCAACCAGGCGTTTGCGGAGCGCATTGCAAAGAATTGGAAACGCGGCGATTCAATCTGGGTCCAAGACTACCACCTACTCCTTGTCCCCGCGATGCTGCGAAAATTGCTCCCGGACGCGCAAATTGGGTTCTTCCTGCATATAGCATTCCCTTCCTCCGAAGTCTTCAGATGCTTGGCGCCTCGAAAAGAGCTTCTCGAGGGCATGCTGGGCGCTAACCTTATTGGGTTCCAGACTGATGAGTACTGCCGACATTTCCTTCAAACCTGTAGTCGCCTCCTTTGCGTCGAGGCAACCAACGAGGGACTCGAGCTGGAGGATCGCTTTGTGAACGTGGGTACATTTCCCATCGGTATCGATCCAACCTCCTGGGACAAGCGACGACAGGCTGCCGATGTGGAACAATGGGTGAAGACAATCTCGGATAGATACGAAGGAAAACGACTTATTGTTTCCCGCGACAAAATTGACTCAGTTCGCGGAATCAGGCAAAAGCTTCTGAGCTACGAGCTCTTCCTAAACACGTACCCCGAATGGAGAGACAAGGCAAGTACATTGTTGGCTGCCATACGCGGCTGGATGCGATTGCGCTGACCCTTCTATGGACAGGTTGTTCTGATTCAAGTCGCAACGAGCACGACCGAGCAGCCAGAGCTCGAAGCCACGATTTCCGACATCGCCATGCGAATCAACTCGATGCACTCAACGCTTGCTCATCAGCCACTGGTGTTCCTCAAACAAGATCTCGCTTTCCCGCAATATCTGGCTTTGATCTCAGTGGCGGATGCCTTGATGATAACCAGTTTGCGTGAAGGAATGAATCTGACCAGTCATGAATTTGTGTATTGCCAGGATGGAAAATACGGGAACAAGAAGTATGGATCTCTCATTTTGAGCGAGTTCACTGGAAGTGCGTCAGTCTTCGGCAACCATGCGCTGCTTGTCAACCCCTGGGACTACCGACAATGTGCGGAGGCCATCCATACTGCACTGACCAGGAGCGAGTCGGAGCGTCAACGGGTGTGGGAGCAGCTTCACCGAGCCGTCCTTCAGAACTCGACAGGTAACTGGGTAAAGTCCTTCAATGAGACGTTGCAACGTGTCTGGAATGAACAGTCTTCGCGTGAGATCATGGCTGTTCCGCGCCTGCCAGTCAACAAAGTGGAGGAGATGTACCGAAAATCTGCTCGCCGATTGATCATTGTGGACTACGAGGGTACTCTTGCTTCATGGGGTTCTCCCAAGAGCATCATTGTTACGACACCACAGCGAGCCATTACCACATTGACGGATTTGACGGAGGACAGTAAGAACGTGGTTTATGTCATGAGCTCAAGAATGCCCGAAGAGATGGAACGTCTGTTCCGACGAGTTCCCGGCCTCGGGCTCATCGCAGAGAATGGCTGCTTCGTGCGAGAGCCGAACACCGAAGATTGGCTCAAGTTGACCAACAAGGAGCGGACGGACGCCTGGAAGGAAGGCGTCAGTCAGATTCTCAGCTACTACCAGGAACGAGCGGAGGGCAGCTGGATCGAGAAACGCCACTGCTCCCTCGTGCTCCACTATGGCTCGGCGGAAGACCACGAAGCCGCCTCTCGACTGGCATCTGAGTGTGCAGGTCATATCAACGATGCATGCGCCAGTCAGGGGGTACATGCCGTTCTCGTTGACCGTGCACTAGTGGTAGGACCAGCGAATACGAACAAGGCCTCGGCGGCGGAATTGGTGTGGCGCGACTGCCTCAGTGCGAGCCAAAAGGACGAGCAGATTGCCCGGCCGGACTTTTTGTTGGCCATCGGAGACAGTCGAGACGACGAGCCAGTGTTCCGGTGGGCTAACAAGCTGGAAAGTGCAAAAGCAGTTGGCTATGCGATGACGGTCACTCTGGGGTCTCGCAGCACGGAAGCTAAGGCCACTCTGACGCAGGGAGTGACTGGTAAGTAGTTTTGTCCTGCCATGCTAGGACCTTAAGCGATTTAGAATGTCTCGCTGACTACAACTGGTCACAGGTGTCCTTTCTTGCCTTGAGAGACTAGCAAATGCGTCACCAGCGCACTAAGCACAGAGATTCTTCTTTGGATTTGATGAGTCTACGAGGGTACGATGCAACTATTTGGACATATTGGCATAAATTAATTACATCGCAGCGTTGAAGGGGGGCAAAAGGACGACGGGCGTAATGGAAAAAAACGTCTCTGGACAGGGATTGTGAGGAGATTGTCCATACAGAGCAAATTGACGGTTAGATAAAAAAAAAAAAAATGCCAGAAAATGGATGCCACATACAGGAACATCTTCATGGTAAAAGTCAAAGACTTCCAGTAGTCCTTAATTGTTCGGATTTAACTCGTCAACTGGTCACCAACTGTAGTGGGTTAGTCAGCGTTCGGCTGTTGGATAGCTCCAACATACGAAGAACCGAGGTTTGACCAGGGACCCGAAGCGTATGGTAGACGTATTAATGTTGACAAACGACTGCGACTTTATCCACAGTTTCCGGGATGTCTTCAACCTCTCTTCCATTTCAAAGGACTTTCAATCTATCTAAACAACTTGGTTGGCCTAATTTGACCTGATCCGTCAATTCATAACAGGGTCAACACTCTCTCTTCCGACCGTGGACACAACCCATCGCGATGGCGGCCCCCGCAGCAAATCAGGCCTTTGAGGAGGCGATCAAAGTAACACCTGTGAATTCCCACAGGTACTCGGCCGTTTTGCGGGATGAATGGTGCATTGGCACTGGTACGTCTCCTGGACTTGGATAATGGAGATTTGAGATCATTGCGAGCTGACACCGTTCAGTTCCCAACGGGGGATATACGACAGCCGTCCTCTACCGATTGGCGATTGCACATTTCGCGCACACCCATCCCACGCGGTACGATGCCCCTGCCACTCCGATCTCTATGCAGCTTGCGTTTCTACGTCGCACGGCCGCCGGGCCGGCTGTGTTGCAGGTGCAGGATACGAAGCTCGGGGCTCGAACCAGTACAATACATGTAGCGCTGTTGCAGCCTAGCGAGAAGGGGAAGGAGAAGGCAGCGCAGAAGACTCTGGCACAGACTGGGTCGTCGGCCTCATCTGACGACGAGGAGAATCTGGAAGTCAAGGTCGCGGGCTACATCACGGTGAGCCCCGCGACGGCCGAAGTGGGCGTCTCGGCGCCCTCGAACTGGACCCTGCTACCTGAGGCGATTTCCGGGTCGGGGCCCAAGGGTCGCGTGAACCTTGCAGCATTGCGGGAGACCGGTCGTGATGGGCAGTGGGTTCGGCTTGTCGCGCCGTTTCCCAAGTTCCGCCGGGCGTCGCAGCAGGTTGAACTGTATGGGCCCGATCCTGCTCTGGGCAAGCCGCCGGTTGTCGACCAGTGGGCCCGGTTTCGGCCAGGTGGGAACACGGAGGCGCGGTGGACGAATGAAGCCGTGGCGTTCCTGGTGGACATGTTCCCGATGGCGCTGGATGGGTTTGACACCATGGGCAAGGCGGGGACGGCGGGAAACGGAACGGGCAACGCTGCGGGGATGGATTCGGCGAAGGACAAACTGGCCAGGTACTGGTACCCGACTGTGACGCTGAACATCGACTTCAAGAAGCGGTTACCGGCGAGCGGGGTGGAGTGGCTGTATAGCCGAGTGCAGACCAGGTCAGTGCGGGACGGCCGGACGGATCTGGACGTGGTGGTTCTGGATGAGCAGGGGGAGGTCGTCGCGCTGAGCAACCAAGTGGGATTGGTGGTGGATGCCAGCCGGAATATCGGGCAGCGGGAGTCGAAGATGTAGGCGTTTCCCTGCCTTGTTTCCCCTCTCTCCTTAGACCACGAAATCTACGCATAAATGTCTTTTGTATGTACATATATAGCTCGATATATACATTATGATCAAATAGACTATGAGGGATGGTCACAATGAAGGAGCAGTTTGTAACCAAAAGGCCATGGCATCCGTCACCACAGTCTTCTTCTTGGCCCATTCCAAATGACCCCCCGTACCGCGGCTGTTGTTCTCGTCACTTTCTTCCTGCACCGCCTGCGCACGCACCCAGTACTTCCTTCCGACGCGGGCCACGACTTTCGCGCGGACGACGACCAAGCCAGGCACACGGAGGGGTTTCTTGTAGCGGACGTCCAGCTGCGCTGTGTAGATGGCGCCCCGCGGATGGTCCCCGGAGGTCGGAGCATGTATAGCGACGGCCAAGGACATGGCCTCGTCGAGCAGCGTGGCCACAATGCCGCCATGAGCGGTAGACGGATGCCCGCTTACACCGGGGGTCGCCAGGTCCAGCATCATGATGACATCCGGAGGGTTGGGGGAGGGCGCAGACGACGGCTTGGCCGCGGGACTGGGCCAGACGGGGACCTCTTGCGGGGGCGGGAGGAGGTTGCGCCGGCGGAGAGTCAGACAGTGCGGGATTGTGGAGGATGTGGCCAGTGTGCCGGCGAAGAAGCCATCTTCGCCGGTGTGTGGCTTGGACAGTCGGGACCAGGTGCGGATGGGATAGTAGTCTGGGGAGTTGAGGAGGGAGTTGGACCAGGCAATGGCGCGGAAGGGATCGAGCAGGGCGGGATCAGAGGTCGGTTCGCTCATGTAGGAAGTGGGCGGAGGAGCGGAGGGAGGGTGGTCTTTTTCCGCCATTTTTGAAGAGATTGTATCAAGGAAAGCGATGATTGAGGGGTTGAGACGGAAGAGAAGGTGGGAATCAGAAATTTGTTGTTGTTGCTGTTGTTGAAGGCCTGTTCGATGTGTCCACAGCAGCTGCAACGAACCTCGGCTACAATTCGGATGAAGAACCATAATGCCGATCATCGTCAGTTTCTCAGTCTCTCTTGAGATAAACATCTGTCAGGATATGAGATCCGAGTAGTACGGATAAAATACTCATCATTATTGACTCAGACATCGACCTTCGTAACCAGTAGATACCTGGACGCGTCAGTAGTCCTGCGTACTGTAGTGAAATCAGACGAGTTAGGTTGTTATCTCCGAGATTGGTACAAGATTAGTGACGAGGACAAGGATAATAATACTAATAATGTGAAGATACTCCGTAAGTCAACAATTTTGACAATCTAGATACCTTGTCTATCTGCTACAGGCTAGGTATTCTCTGGAGGGTCGGTCTGCCTTCTCCTGCCTCAGGTATACATTCAGGTAGAACACATGAGCAACAATGGCATTCCTCTGGTTTTGTATGGTATGAGATGACTCTGAGCTGATTTTGATGGTGATACTAATAATATTTCTCATCGCTTGTGCCACCAGTCCTGAATAATAACAATAACAACACAACAATAACAACAATAATAATGACTGATGATGAATGTTGAGTTACACCACCTCCTAGCGTGCATGGACAGCCAAGTATCTCCGTAGTTAGTATGGGCTACAAAGTGCTGATGGTTCCTTGTTTCCATGTCCTCTGTTTAGAGCTAGATAAATGATTGGCTACGTAGATAGATACTAGACACGAACTGACTTGAAGATATTCGCAATGTTAATATTAATTCATCAGCATCATCACTCTGTAGAAGCACTCCACTCCCACTAATTCTTCAGAGAAATGAATGATTGATACTGAATCTCGTTATCCCCAACAGTGGTGGAGCATCACTGGAGAACCCAGTAAGTACTCCGTAGTATCAAGAACAATAACTGAACTGACCAAGACCATGGCTAGCTAGCTAGGACCGTACCAAGGTATCTAGTCTGCAACTACCAAGTAATATGTCCTTGGTTGAATAATTACCGTTTTCGACGAGAATTGACGCTAAACTGGCATTCCTCATCCTCAATAGGTCCTTTCCCTCTAATAATCCCAGATTGGTTGTTCAGGAGAACTGAACTTTCCTTCTTGTTTATTTCCCTCCTCCTCCTCCTCTTCTTCTTTCACCCTTCTCCCTTCTCTTCCCTTTCCCTCTCTTCCCTCCCTCTTCTCTCTCCTTCGTTGTCATCATTAACCAATTCATCTTACCAATCTCATCCACTGAGGATTATTTGAATCGTCCACAAACTTACCAATTGACTGTCGATCTTCTCACATAATCAAAGATCGTCACCTTCTCCACCATGCGCTCCATCGCCATTGTCTTGTCCACGTTGGTGGCTGCCACTGTTGCTAGCAGCAATTACACTTTCCCCTCAGGCTTCAACATTGCCCAGGTTAGCTCTACCGAGAAAGGTTCGTTATTGAAGTCGCCCATGACCCGAAGTAGCCGATTGACTAACATGGAGGCGATATTTCATAGCTGCTTGGTGCCTGGCTGAGCGGAACACCTGCCCAATTATCTGTGGTGGAATCGCCGATAGCAACTCATGTGATTCCGTATGTGTTGATGAACTCGAAAACTCATCGTCTTCAAACTCCCTCAAACTAATGCGATGACGGACAGGACACTCTTCAATTCTCTTGTACTTGCAGCAACGGTACCGAGGCCGATGTGTCGCCCTACATGCAGACCATCCCCTTCTACGTCTGCCAGGAAACCTACAAGCAGTGCATCGCAGCCTCCTCGACTCAGGATGAGGATGCAAAGTGTACGGCCGCCCAGAAGGAGTGCGGTACACTGAATGCGACGGCCTCTTCCACCTCCTCCTCGACCACTACCTCTTCCGCTCTTACTACCGCTACAGAGAGCGCGACCGGAAACCAGGCTGAGTCGACTGCCACGGCCACCACCACTACCAGTAGCAGTGCTAGCGCTCAGACGAGCAATGCTGCCATTCGCTTGGTTGGCGAGCATGCCACTGGTGTGATCGCGACCGTGCTCTTCTTTGCGGCTCGTCTCCTGCTGTAGATGGGGTGATGTGCCATGTTTGCGACCATGGCCATACCTACCACATCCGTTGAGACACAAGACCAGCCACGGAGATTGAAACACTCGACCGTTGAGTCCTCTGTCTAATGCCTGTTCCTCGCTTGTTTTCCGCGCGTTTTTCTCTGAACGCTTGACTCATTACACTGCAATCGCACTATTCCCCCGCGTTCATGTCTCGTAATTGAGCCATTTGTGATATTATGATCCTGTATGCACTATACGCTTTTCATGACTGTCCTTAATTGAAGCCTGCAAATACCTGTCGGCGCTTAGGAATTGACTAATTCATGGGTACGACCTGATCAATTTGCTTTGCCGTGTTTATAGCTTCTGAAGTTTGAAGTGTTGTGAGTGATGCCGTTGGACGATAATCCGGCTTGTAGAGTGATAGAGTACTGCTCCTCTTGGCAGCGGACTGTGGTCAATCGGTAATGGGCCTGTGCTCGTGGAAATTTTCCTTCGCAAAAAAATATGATGATAATAGTCATGGAAACAATTGGCAAGTCGATAATAATGATGAATGATTGAAGTACTACGTACCTCAAGTTGTTGTGTTGAACCGAGTCCCTTTGTCAGGTGTTTTCTCCAACCAAAAAAGGGCCAGTTCGCCAAGAGTTTTGCCCACACTGAAATTTCGCCCTTCCCGGCATCATCGAACTTATCGAATATCGATAGCCTCTTGGGACTCTCTCTCCGCCCTCCTCGACTTATTCTTTTCTAGACCTTCTCTCTCTCTCTCTCCTTCTCCCTCTTCCCCCTCCCTCTCCTATCTACGCCCATTATGCCCGCTCCCACCACCACCCTCCTCATCGAGGGTACCTTCACCGAACTCGCCGATGAGTTCGCCCAGTATATTGACGCCCTCCGCAAGAACGAGGGCGCCAGCCTCCAATCCGAGATCGCTCCCCTCATTGAGCCTCTTCGCCAGCAAGAACAGTCGGAGGAGGAGCCCGATCGCAAGCAGCGCGATGAGGTGCTGAAGAAGTTGGTGGCTGCCGCCGCTGTGTTGAATGCGGCTCCAGAGAAGGGTGAGTTTGTGTGGGCGGGGTGCTCTAGATGGATCCTGGAGGATCGAGACAAAGGGAGGAGCTGGGAAGGCTGACATTTGGCAAATTTGCATCTAGAAATCATTTCCGCCTACAACCTCCTCGTGCACTTGGTGCACCAGGCCTCGGACCCGGATATGTTCCTCTCCCGCATTTGCACCTACCTCGCCAAACCTATCACCACCTCGCCTCAGTTTGGCCCCACGCTCGCAATCTCCATCCTGACCACCATCTTCAACACTCTCGCTCCCTCCGACTCCAGCCGTTTTCACGTCCTCCTGGCCATCGTCGCCGTCATTCGCCATTCCGGCTCTTCGTACGCCTTCGAGGCTCTGAAGCCCCAGCTGACGGCTCAGCTGCCCACTTGGTTGTCCGCCTGGGAGCTGGATGAGGAGGATGCTCAGAAGCTGCACCTTGCCGTTGCCGATGCCGCTCAGGCTTCGGGTGATCTTGAATTGGCGCAGACTCACGTGGTGCAGGCCCTGCAGACGATCCCCGCCAACGAGGCCTCCAGCAAGGAATCGCGCGACCTGGCCGTCCGTGCCTTGACCTCCGCCCTGAAGAACCCCGCCGTTTTCGATTTTACTTCGTTGACTGCCGCCGATGCCATCCAGGCTCTTCGCTCCAGCGACAGCACCCTTTTCGAATTGCTGGAGATTTTCACCGCCGACACTCTGGACGCCTACGAGGATTTCGTCGCGGCCACCCCTCTCGACTCCATCTCTGGCGGTGTTCTGGCCGATGGCTCCGAGGCTCTGCAGACCAAGATGCGCCTGTTGACCCTGGCTTCGCTTGCGGCTTCGACTCCCTCTCGCTCCCTCCCCTACGCTACCATCGCCTCGGCGCTGCGCGTGCCCACTGAAGATGTGGAGAAGTGGGTCATCGACACTATTCGGGCTGGTCTAGTCGAGGGCAAGCTGTCGCAGCTGCGCTCCGAGTTCCTGGTGCACCGCGCCACGTACCGTGTCTTCGGTGAGAAGCAGTGGGCGGAGGTGCAGGGTCGTCTGATGGTCTGGCGCCGCAGTCTGGAAAGTGTGCTGGGTGTCCTCCGCACCGAGCGGGAGCGCTACATCCGGGAGAGCATGCAGGCGGCGGCTGAGGAAGCCGGTCAGGGCAAGTCGGGCGAGAAAGGAGGCAAGGGCGGTGACCGGAGACGTAACCCCCAGCAACAGCAACAGCAGCAGCAGTCGCAACCCTCACAACCACAGCAGCCTCGGGAGGTTGAGTTGGTTGGAGGTGCTGAATAGATTAAGCGCTGAGAGGAACCAGACTTGCAGCGAGGTAGGAGAAAGCAATAGACTTGTCGCCAAAAGATGAAAAAGAGAAATCCATGCTGGAAAAGTAATGATCGGGGTGTCCTTTACTCTTGTTTACTTGTCTTGTTAATCTGAACCAGGAGACCTCCCCCTTTTTTTTTGTTCGAATTTGCCGTCCATTTCTCTTATTTCCATTTCTACAATGTTCATATGGTAGCTGCTTCTGTTGTTTAGAGACGGGAAGCCCTGGATGCATGTTAGTAGTTAGGATTGGGCCAGATCAATCAATCACGAATCACGTCTTGTTCATCCTTTCTGACGATACGTTTGAGGCAGAGATTGTATATTCCTTGGCTCTAGTATGACAGGTAAGACACGGGACGCTTTGTTTCTGACAAGGTGTGGACTAGATGTGATATGTCTATATAACGCAAGCATGAATTTTCTTCAAAATTGACAAACAAATATATGTTCAGTTCAACGGGGAAGATGCAGGAAGATCCGGGAAACAATCGAGGGTCAAATGCCGATGCAACACAATCCAATCCAATCAGATGGACTGGACACCCCTCTTCTCAAGTCCCTCCCTGATTCTCACATACACTTCATCGACCGTCCCCGTGGCGGAGACGGACAAGACCTTCTGCTGTTCCTCGAAAGCCCGCACAACGGGCATACTGGTCTCAACAAACACCCGGAAGCGCTTGCGGATCGACTCGGCATTGTCGTCGTCACGCCCCGAGGTCTCCCCGCGCTTGAGCAGCCGCTTCTCCATCACCTCCTCGGGACAGTCCAGGAACAGAGTCATTTCCGACGGGCAGACGGTATCCTCGAAGAACACGGCCTGGTCGAGCTTGCGCGGGAACCCGTCGATTAGGAACCGGGCCTTCTTCTTACCGCCGTCAGCGGTAGCACCGGCACCCGCCGCCAAGGCATCGGCCATGGCGTTCGACAGCAGCGCCACCGTGATCTCCATGGGCACGATCTTGCCCTCTTTGATATATGTGCGGATGAGGTCGCCGTACTGGCTTCCCTCGCGGACCTGTTCCGCGCGCAGCAGATCGCCCGCGGACAGATGGATGAAGCCGTAGTCGCGGACCAGGTTGGCGGATTGCGTGCCCTTGCCGCTGCCGGGTCCGCCTAGCAGGAACACGACTGTGACATCCTGTGGGGAGAAGCGCGGGGTGGTATTTGTCGAGGCCTGAGGAGGGGCGGGTTGTGTGGGAGGGATGGCTGGGGGATGTTGTGTGTTGGCCATCTTTTATTTCCTGTTATTTGAGGTGGTGGTCGATTTATTGATTGGATTGCGGCTTGCGGACGCCTGTGCGCGATTTCACCAATAGGATGTAGGAACCGGTGCCAACGGCGAAGATAGCCACGAAGGGGAGGATTTTGAATTGAGAGCGGCTGTATTGAGATCCTGAAGAGGAGGACGGGGGAGGGGTGTTAGGTTTAGAGGAGGAGGAATAGGGGCGGCGGTGATGCTGCAGCTGTTGGTGGTGGTGGTGGTTGTGGTGGGGTCCCGGTGATGATCTGACGGGATGCAATATCGACAGCAATTGAGCTCGAGTCGGGAGGCTGGAGGATCGCAGGGCTCCAGAGGGAAAAGACATTCCTTGAGAATAGACTTGAAGTTTTAATTGATTCTAAGTAACAAGCTGAGCTGGACAAGGCAGATGAAGAAGAGCAGCGAGAGCTTTTTTTGCGATGGGGATGGAAAATGAGTCTAATAATAACAGCAACTAAATAGTGGACAGAAAAATAAGGCATGCAACAATCCAGAAGTGGCTTAGTGTGATCACTGTATACTTCTCTCACAGAGCAGTGGTACCGCTGTCTGTATACTTTATCTTCAACAACACAATCATCTTGATTTAGACTTACAGTAATGATAATGTTGCTTTTGAGATAAGCAGATCAATGAGGCATTGAGCTGACAATAGAATTGTCACGGAGTTGTGCAATTGTTCATCAATCATTGATGGACTATTCTGCACTGCTAGGAAGAGAGAGTAAAGAGAGAGAATCAGAAGCAGTGAATGATTCAGATCTCAGAGATTTATGAAACATGCGAATCATAGTCTTTTGAGTTCAATTTGTTCTATTGTGAGTATGTTCTTTATAAAGCTTGGTTCCCTCAAGGCTCTTCGTCTCTTCCTTCCTCCTCTTCCCTATCTCCCTATTCATACCACACGTCCCCCCCGCTGTGTATCAGCAACCCATCATCTCACCATGGCTGGACCAAAACAACAGAACAGAAGTCAGCAAGGAGGCCGGGGATTCAGATACGGTCGAGGAAGAGGCGGTAGATCCAACAGATCCAACTTCAAATCACACAACACAGAAGACAACGACTCCCACTCTCCAGCAAAGAGCTTTGAACCTAATGTCAGTTGAAATTACACCTCAGACTAAACAAGTTAGGACTCACTGACAATAATTTAGGCAATTCATGGCAGAGGCGGATACAGAAACGTTTCCTCCGGAGGACAAAAGCATGATCTCAATGTCAGTCGTTCTACTGTCCCGACTCGACTGAGTGTAACCCACCTGACAAATGACACCCAAAAGAAATCGGGCGATGATGGGAAAACTTCCAACAAAGGTGAGAATCCACTCATTCCAAGCCTTTGAAAGTGAAAATATTGTCACTAATAGATACCTAGCACACCTTGGTTCTTCGTCAAAGCCCAAGCAACAGGAAGACAGCATCCGTTCCCCCCAGTCTCTGCAATTCGTTCCTACGAACAAGAGCTTATACCAAGGCGCAGGTAGAGTCACAGCTACCATGGTGAGAAGTACTCTACCCGCCAAACTTTCGGCATTTCAGCGTCTTCCCGGCGAGTTGCGTTGGAAGATCTATGAACATGTGTTTGACGTTCACCGAGTCGAAGTCTTGCGTTTGCGGGACAAGAACCCAGAAAACAACATTAAGCGAGTCCATTACCGCCTCTACCATCGTCAGCTGCGACCTCGCGATCCCAAAACACATGCCGCACCCTCAAGTGAAGGACGCTTCACGTGTCCTCCCCTTCCCATCGCGCTTCTGCTCACCTGTCGCAGCATCTATCGCGATACGCTGTGCCTGTTCTACTCCAGGATGCAGTTCATTTTCAACACGACTCGTACCGTGATGCGCTTTCTAAAGATCACCCAAAAAGAAGCTCAAATGGCGATCCAGCACATCGAGCTCAATCATACCATGTATAGCGAGCCTGCGCTGCTGAACTTCCGATGGTACAAGTGCATGAGCGACATGGCGTGGTACAATGCCTGCGATGACCTGACCGTCTACTGCAAGTCACTGCTTGTCCTCCATATTGATATGAACATTCGGGACTGGCCCATCAGTCTCCAAGTGGGCGAGCGGTGGTCCTTGCCGCTGCTTGCCTTTGCGCGCTATGGACCACGACTCGACTGGGTCGATATTCGACTTCACATGGGCAGCTTCAAACAAGACAAGCTTGAGAAAGTCGCTCGTGAGATCGAGGAACAGATCATGGACCCAACGGCTTTTCAGATGCGCGAGGATGAACGGCTGGCGAAGGAGTTGGCGGGGCCTGTGAAGGCCAAGGTTTTAAGACTTGTGTTCTAATTTGGTTGGTACCTGGACATGGCGGGAAAGCACGATGATTGATATGAGGAGTGAGAAAAGGACCGGGCTAATGACGAAGGAATGGGCAAATTGATACAGGAATGGTTGGAATTCGCACGGACATGTCGTAGAAGGATCACTCGTACATTGGCATCAATAAATGCATCGGACAAGTAGATTATCGCTTTTTTTTCTCTTTTCTTCTTTTCTATTTACAGAAATTCAGCAATTGAGTATGTGATTCTGCCAAGTATGAGTGAACGCGATGATGATCGAGTGATGATCGAGATGTACATGAGTCATGATTATAGGCAAGTGTAAGGAGGATAATGGAGAAAGCATCAGCAAGTTGGAGGCAGCAAGTTGGAGGGCATCACGATGCCTTTGTTCATTTCGCAACCCTCAAACATGCATCCTCTTTATTTGCTCTCGAGAAGCCCAAGGTCCTCAGTGGGTTGAGCCTCCTCGGATGAGACTGTGTGGTATTCCTGCCTACGACGTCGCCGGATGAAGAAGTAAATGCCCGCCATGAGCCCGCTCATGGAGCATGCAATCAAAACAAATATCAAGATCTCCCCAACCCCTTGGATAATCTCATACGCTTGGTTTACAGCTTTGGCTGCTTCCTTGGCCGTGCTGTAAGAATCCGCAACGTCGTCTTCGTCGGACAGCTTCGAGCCGTACAGCAGCGAAGGGTCATCAGGCGTGGGCTTCTCCTCGCCCTCGAAGCCCGCCAGTCGCCAATTGTCTGGTGTAGTGGTGCGATGAATGGCAGAGGTCCCCAGGACGCTCCCGTCCTCATCCACTGCTTCCACGGAGACCCAGTCCAGATATCCGTCTGCGATGTACATAGTTTCAAAGTCGAACTTGGTGGTGTTGCCGACCAACACGGGGATCCCGCTCTTCTCCTTGCGGGCGTAGAAATTCCACGAGGCGATATCTGTCGCTCCGTTCCAGCTGACGTGGAAGATAGTCGTGAGGTCAGTCTCATCTGTACCGAACACAGTCGAGACCACGTCCGGCGGTGTCAGAGGACGACCCTCAAAGGGGAACTTGTAGGACCGGTAAGTGGAGAAGCGAGTGGATGCAAAGCTGGCCTGCATGAGGACTTTGCCATCGGGAGAGTGCTCGCTTTGGTAGCCCTTCTCACTCCAGCCAACAAAGACGTTGCCATTTGGCAAGCGCTGAGCACTACCACGGAGCCGTGTGAGACCTCCATCCGGGCGGTCGTAACGGTCGAGCAGTCTTGCTGTCATGGGGGATGCACTGGTGTCCACCTGCACAAAGAGAGCAGCGGAATGATCTTCGTCTTGTCCGCCTTCATCGGAAGCGTTGTTCAAGAACGAAATAGTTGTATGCGTTTCATTCGACTCGACAAACCGAACATGGTGCTGCTTGGAAAATGTGAAATCCTGCACAAAGTCTGAAGATTTCCCCCCGAGTCTCCAGATAATGTGTCCATCTTGTCCGGATATCAGGTAGATTGTGTTTGTGAACCGTGCAGATAGGATATAGTCACCGGCCTCGTTCTTATCCACGGCGTTGACATGGATGTAATCCCAGCCAGGCTGGCCAGACGGCGAATCCCAGGAATTGACTTTTACAGACTCATGAATCGGGATTTGGCCGACAGAGCTCCATTCATAGATTACAGCCCCGGTAGCTATATCCAATTCCACGAAGCCACCCGTCATGATCCAGCCATGCTCATCCGGACGCCCCAAATCTCCAAGATCCATGTACTCAGGCCGGTATAGGCAAGCTAGGGCAGTCTTTCCGCCGTCGAGGATGTTGAATTCATGCATATTGAATGCTGAAACGTCATTTGTCACCCCGACGGCATATTCTGGCTCATAATGCTCGTCAAGGATATAACCGAGTCCCTTTTCACTGCCATCATCGTGATACGCATGCTGCAGGATAAACGAGAGATGAGGTCGACCATCGATGTTGTGCACTGCCTTGAAATCGAAGATATTTCGATTGTCAAACATGCATGAACCAGCCCAGATCAGGGTCTAACCAGAATTGGACTTGTAAGCTGGGTCCTCCTTGTTGTCCATGCTATGCTTCAAGTGTTTGAGGAAGACATACCCCATCTGCATCGTAGATATACGGCCCGACTTGGCATGGCTTCCACTGCTTGGTGGGAGCCTCTGGGTCAATCACGCCATATGGCGCGACGAACCAGTACCCCGGACTCACAGATTCACGATCATAGTAAGCAACGTCGAATCTTAGCGCTCTAACTCCGGGAAGCTTAACCTTGTCAGTTCAAGATCATTCAGCTTGTATTGGAGGGCATACTGTGACAAAGGACATCAAGTCATCGTCAGAATCGGCAACCCCATTGCGGAAGAGAAGTAGAAACAAGAACCAGAATAACATCATGCTTAAGGAGTGGCTAGGAGAAAGTCTCCGGAAGGAAAACAGGCGAGAATAAGAAGGAAAGGAAGGATATTAGGTCTCGAGGAAACTACCGAACAAGATGACGAGTCGACGCTTCATCTGGAGGACTGCAGACCTGCAGATCGAAGAGACTGTAGTACGGAGTAAACTTCGAGGAGTAGCAAAGCAGTCTGTGTGGAGAAGTTGAACGACATCGAGCGATGATAAAAACGAGAAGGAAGCTAGAATGAAACTGACCAAGCCACAAAAGACGATTTACGTTAGGATCACATATAATCATTCGCATCGGTATAGGTCGTCCTGTGCTCCGTAGGAACTCGGGAGTAGACGAAGTCCATGTGTCTACTCCGACGACCACGCAAGATCTGGTATGGAATTTGGCAATCAAATGAAGCGGACTTTCTTGGCGATGTTTGAGGCAGTGGAGCAGACTGCGAAGTTCACACTTTGAGAACCACACAATGATGGCCGAGTTCTGCGATTGACGTATGCCGACTCGTGGACAGTGGCCCATAGCCCATTAGCGGCGTCAACGTTAGTCAAGTGCACGTCCAAGACTGCGCGGCCTTTGTGATGCTGCCCATTTTCGGCTCCCCTTTTCTGCAACTCAGAAACCCCATCGGAAAAGACATTTCTCTATCATTAGCCCGATTGGAATGTGACACAAAAGTCTTTAAGATATTGATACTGGGACACTGTGTGCCTCCACTGAAACAGCACTTAACAGTCAATACTCAGTTGTGCCGATGTTGGCGTCTCTAGCGGAATTGAGGAACCGCAGCCATCAGAATTTCTGGAAGAAGTCTATCAGTGTTCAATGCAATGACTGGTCAGCTTTATTGCCGGTGACCCACAATCATTGGACAGTAAATCACTGTTGGACGTGGTCATGCTCCACGGTGGCCTTGGCTTTTGGCCTAACCTTTTGCCCGTTCGGTGATCACTCGAGGTTCCAGTCCCAATGCTGCTTCATCAAATCTGATGTGAGGCGAACTGGCTTCAGGCGATCCAGCGAGGGCTTTATCTAGAGTGCGGATCTATTCGTGCAGTTGCTTTAACAGACTCATCATTATCTGTGCGAAAGCATCGTGTTGCCTGTCCCTAGTGGCTTCAAAGTTCGGAATTTAGGATCAAGAGTGAGTTGAGGGAGCACCACGTGACAGTTACTTCCGACCGACGAGGAAGAAAATGACTACACCATTATTATCGACATCCCTCCAGAATTGTCAGGATAAGCTTCTACAACTGATCAATCACTCGGCTAAAGGCATTTCGCTCGGCTTTATGATCATTCCCGATCAAGTAACTCGCACCGACAGCAGAGTCAGACTGTCAGAACTCTCCCATGAATTGATCCACTATACGGAGTACACATGTCTAGGTATTTACATAAGCTATTCACAACTGGGTCGCGGGCCTCGGATTCCAACAAAATGCTTGGCATGATCTATATCCAGACCAAACAATCGCTGAGGGCAACGTTTATGAGACAATAGTCCTCCAGTGCTCTTGTGTTCAAGCTACTTTGCACGACTGTGTCTATCCGCTATCCTGCCCTTCAAACAGCGTAGCTTGCAGTGGCTGGTTCTCTGAAGGTTTTGGGCATATATGCAAGAACTTCTGCTAATGCGACAAGCAGCAGTCCTTCTGTGCCTAGCAAATCATCTAGGCCAAGCTGGGGTGGAAGCACACGCCCGCACACCTCGTCAAGATCCAGCCGTGACGGATTGCCCGGGCCGTCATGGGTTAGCGCATCAACCGCTAATGCCCATGCGAGTGGGTTGTACAAGACACCCTCATGAGTGTAAAGCCCTCCTGCAGGCTTGCCACCGCAGACGGTCTGCAGGTGGTTATTAGATACGCCGACAGCCCGCGAGTCTGAAAGAATGGCGGACGCCTGGCTGCCGCTCATGGGCTGTACGATCTCATCGAATGTGGAGTAGATCGTGGTTGTGGGAACATATGCAGAGTCCCCTCCGTCGTCTCGCAGAGTTCTGATAAACTCTGTGTTCCACCCCTGCTGCCACAGTGAGGGAGTGCAGACAAGTGCTTGCAGCCAGGGGCACACGAGTGACCTCTCGACCGTCCCGTGGAAATCAGGGCTGATGGCGATGAAATCATCAACCACTTTTCGAGTGGATGGCCAGTACTTCAGCGCCCATTGAGTATCCAGTCCACCTTGGGACCATGAAACAACCGCGACGTTGGATTCTGAAATGGCAGAGACATAATTGATTGCATAAGCGACGTATTCAGAGTTGATCTGAATGTCATTCAACGAGGCCTGGGGGATGTTGACCCAAACCACGTCGGCATCTGCGGCGCTTCCCAACTTGCCGAAGTTGAAGTAATAAGTCGTCCCAGCGGGTGTAGCGGTTCCCGGAACCAATATCACAGGCTTCTTTCCATTCTTGCCATAACCGAAGGAGTTGGGTATATGGATCGCTGCCCGCAGTGCATTTTCTGCGACTGAGTAACGTGCATCTCCTGGAGCTTTGGCCGGGTAAATGACTTGGTTCTTCAGGCTGGGGTTCCGGTTGTGGATCGAGTTGAGGTCCAAGTTGAGGTAACCATTCAGGAACGAGAGAATG